ATCAAAATGTGATTGTAGTTCGTTGTCAACCTTACCACGGTACTAAGGAGACGTCATTTGTGTCTGAATAACGTTTTGTTCATGAGTTATTGATCCGTGAAATCAGAATCTCCCAATATCGTTCCAACTTTACTGAACTAAGCCAGAAGACCGTCTCATTTCGTAGACCGCTCGGTTTGCTGTTCCTTCACTTTATTTTTATATTTATATACATTTATTTTGGACGAAAACTTAGCGTGAGGAAAGGCAAGTGTGGCGTGAGTGCGTGAGATATGGTGACTCTCACGCTCAATGCGTGAGTGTTGGCAGCCCTGGCTAATATACATCTCATATAAAATGTCTACTGTATTGACTTGTATGTTTCCCTTTGTAGTTAAAAGGAAGCGGGATTTGTCATCTGGCCTTCTCTTGTTTATGGAGAAGAGTGACGAGAGGGAGGAGAGGCTACTGGAACAGGGCCAGGCGATGCTTCAGCTGGAGCAGGAGGCCAATGATAAGTTCAAACGTGCTTTGGACAGACTAGAGCAGCGCAGCCAGTCATGGCTTGGCTTGATAGGCAGGATGGTGACGGTGATGGAGACCAATAAAAAAAGCTGACCATGTTGCAGCTTATTTTTGTATAAAAGTTTTTTTGTTCATACCTTTGATTTTTTTCAGAGGATATTTTCAACTTTTTTTTGTATACACATTTTTTATAAGTATATTCTCCACGCTTTTTTATAAGTATATTCTCCACGCTTTTTTGTAAATACTTTCTTGTTTATAAGAATATTGTTCAGACTTGTCTGTATTGACATTATTTGATTTGTATATAAAATAAACAAGTTATCTACAGTCTATGGTCTGATCCAGTGATTTTATTGAAAAAAAACCCCTGCTGATCAGTTCATTTTAAAATGTCATATTTCACCACCAGCAGAGAGCAGCAGAGAGCCAACAGTTTATATGGGCAAATTAGTATAGTTTAACTTGCTTGCATATTTGTACTGGTTTTAAGAATGAATTAAAATTGCCTATCTCTACCATAACAATCAGTATGAGCTAATACTTCGTTTAAAAGCTAATCCACACTTTACTTTTATTTGCGATAATGGTTGCTTGCCATGGGAAGTTTAAAGACTAACTCACCTCATCAGAAACCCCTGTATGAAGGGAAAACTATCGCAAAAAACCACAATGAGAAGAACCAAAACTACAATTCAAACCCAGGACTTTCCTGCTGTGAGTCTTTATTTTACATTATCTAGAAGGCTTGAACAATAATGTTGTTAAATACTCAGACAAATGTTCAGAAAGCAGTGCTGAAACGTTTCCTAGCAGTTAACATCCCACCACATCCTCACTGCGAGACCTTCTGAGATGTGAAGGAAATTGCTCCAGCGGTAAATATTTCAGCTTCAGTTTGCCTCCCCTCAGACTGATGGATTGGCTCTGCCCGGCCTACATGAACCTTGTCTTTGTTGATGGGTGCAAAGGCCTTCGGGTGTCATTTCCAGTTAAAGAAAAGGATCCATGTCTGCACAGCAGTATCTCACATATTTAAATAAATCTACATATTTGTAGCATGACTGAACCCACTCGTATATGAGTTTAGTTATGCTGGCGGAGGGCGTTAGAGAGTTACATGGTGGGATTTATAACTCATGAGTATTCCATGTGCATTCATACCTTGAATCTATATGTGTGAGGTCAAAACAGGTTTTAACACAACTTTCTTCAGTTCCTACAATTGGGTTGTTTTCATTGTGGTCCAAAAGCAACTGTTCTTTATTCCGTGTCGTTATCCCACGGCCCCAGCGCTGTCCCTTGTCAGGTGTTTGGAGGTGTGTGTTGTTTGGAGGTGTGTGTTGTGTATTCTGCACCTGTGCCAGCTTCAGGGGTCTTGCTCCCAGCTCTTTGATGTGTGTGTGAGGACAGGCCAACGGCAGAATGGACAGTCACAACAACATCTGCTGCCGCTCCCCGCCCCCCCCCAGACCACCACCTCCCGTTCTGTGGAGTGCTCTCCTGAAAGCAAAGAGCCTGAACACAAACAAACACACACTCACAGAAATAATCATATGCATGTGTGTGTGTGTGTGGGGTTGCCGAGCTACCAGCAATACAAAGAGAGTGTCTGAAAGAGGTCAGTTCAGAATTCATATTACTTCAAAGCACTTGTAAGTGTGTCTTGTATTGCAAGACACACTTACAATAAAATGTAATCTTAAAAAGATCTGAGAAGAGAAAAATATCCATCTTCCTATAAGAACTTAAAAAAGGAGAGTCCTCCTTATGCAGCAATAAGCTGTTGGATAAATGTCAATGTATGTATAAGTGTACCATGAGAAATGTCTCAGCAAAATGATATAGGCATTGCAGAATGTACCTTTGATCCCATTTCCTTTTTGGTCAGGGCTGTAATGCAGAATGTACATCGCTTTATGATTTATTATGGACATTGTTTGGAAAAGGAATTTTGTGAATTTAGCAGTTTGTTTCAGGTATTTGTGAATGGATTGCACAGAGCTTTGGCAATACTGTATGTAAATATGGTCATGCTGATAAAGCTCTTTAATTGAATTGGTTTAGGTAGTCAATTATACTGCCAAAGATGATCATCCTGTTAGACCTTACAGGTGGGGTAGGTAAGTTTGAGAAACCGGCTTGAGATACACTTTTTGTTATATTCCATGGAATGCTCTTAACATCCCGATAGCAATGAATATCTTAAGTGCTTTGACAAAAAATCCATAAAAAAATGTCATCTGTGGAAGCCGTAATACTGTAAAAAGCACGACCAATTATTTTAGCTGGCCCGGATAAAATAACTGGATGGCCTACCTGCCTGTCAGCCTTCCGTGTGTTGGAGGAGGGGCTCTATAAGGAAGTGGCAGATTTTCTCCGGTTGTGTATTTTCAAATTCTAGCGATCTCGAGCCGGATTCTCAAATTTACCTACCCCACCTTTAATGTAGCACTCATTTGTCCACTTTTTTTTCGTTATAAGAAATAGAAATGAGTCAGCACTTTAAAAAAAGGCCCTAGTTGTAATGATTGTTAATAAACAGACCATATGAGCAGCAGCCGTGGGTAAACTGTCTCCTAACTCCTTTGTGGATTATGTTCTTAATGCTAAATTGTCTTTTTATCTTTGGTGTTATCTCTCTGGAGATGACATTTACATTTCCTTTCTCTACAGCTATTTGTCCTTTTCAGTTCAGTTCTGTTGCTGCCAGTTTCTGCCTGTTTCTCACCCTGTGTATCTTGTCCCTTAATCTCTCACTTCCTGTCCTCCTCCTGCTCTTGTCCTGTTAACTCTCCCACTGCAAATTCTCAGATTTACAGTCAGCTCCTCTGCTCTAGAATATTTTGGTTACGCTGTGATTGAATGGTTCTGCCTGGCCCATCTGGAGACTTAAGCAGGAGAGTGCCATGTAGCGACTCAAGAAGAAGCTCTAACGATGATGACAGTATTTTAACGAATTCCGTGAAATAGCAAAGTGTAGATGTTTACATTCATATTTCTAGTATTTCTACATTGAAATACCTAATTGTTCTGGTAGTAAGTGTCCCATCCTGCTGCCTGTGCCTGTGGGTGCAGGTGTTCTCCTGGTGGCTGCTGAGCATCACCAGTTAATTAACACCACTGGAGTGTGTCAAGAGGATGGGAAGGAAAACTGCTGCTGTTGGCAGAAATGGCGATTGAGTGACTTTTTCAACTGAATGTTTTACTTCAAAACCGAATGGGTCTGCAATATTATGTTAGGGGTTCATCCGCAGCCCTTGGGTAGAATAAACCTCCACACAGAGATATGCACACATGTGTACCTCATTGCTGTGCATGCCTTGGGTGTCAATTTGTGCTGTTAATTGTAATTTCCACTGGGGATAGGGGGACATTTACAAATTCACAATCCTGTTTTTGTCCCCCAATCCAGAGTGTTACGGTTTCGGATTTGCTCTCCTAAATCTGTCTAATTATATCTTCTCACTGTTCAGCTGCTGACATTCAGATGAGAGAAAAGAAGGTGATATGAATCAAAGAGTCGCCGGCTTAGATCATTATGGCTCGCAGCAATACATTTAACAAGATGCAGTGGGTTGTGTAAGGACTTCATTTGCCCCGGGTTTTACCTTCAAGAGGTTCAGCCTGCAGCTTGAGAAGGCTCTAGACCGAGACTTCTCTGCGTGTTTTATTTAGATCATTTGAGGTCTCTACCAGCACAAACTAAATATGATTTTAAGTAACATGTATTAGTAACACAGCATTTCTAACTTTATGTGGTGTGATGGTTAATTGGTCAATCATAATTTGTGTCATTAAAATGTCTCCTGTTACCCGTGACTTCGTGATGCGAGTTATTGATTTTATTGTATTTATTATTTTATGTATTTGTATTATTACTGTTTTTTCTGTGACCATGTCCTAATGGGGTAGGGGTGGGGATAGGGGATGGGTATTTTTCGTTCCTTTAACAGACAAATTGTCCTGTACTTTATATAATGTGCTGAAAGTGCCATGTCTGCAAAAAAAGTAAATAAAAAGATTTAAAAAAAAAGATAATCTCATTAATATGCTATTTTCTTGATTGATCAATTTATAAAACTCACTCACTCACTCAAAAAGTAGGGCTTTTTACGTAAAAAAGACAGTGCTCTACCAATACTCGACAGGCCTGGCATCCTGTCGACGTTGATTTGTGAATAAGTAGTATCTGAGCTCCTGAATATCTTTGGATGAGGTGACATTACTTGGTTACACTGTATAATCCTCTGCCAGCAGCAGACTCAGAGTGAGGGTGTGATTGACACGATGCGGTTTGCATTGCTGATGAGCAGCAGTGACCATTACAAGAGAAAACACGCTTAAGAACATCAGAGAGTTGAGAGCGGCTCCCAGTTGGTGTCGTTGTTACCTTCATCTGTCTTCAAGGCTGAATCCTTTCAATGGCACTAAGGCCACTCTCACACCCACACAGCAGCAACACTGTACTAAAAAAATAAGATAATGCATCCCAATACGAATTTACGTCACAACTTAAAGTCATTCAGATTTTATTTTTATACAAAAATATTTTACATTAGAAAACACAGCTTAAAATATACACAGTCCACTTGGTTATGCATCAACTGCAGAACCTTTCAACTCAAATATATCCGTCTATAGGTAAATATATCTTTACAGCAAGAATAAACCACGTTTTTATTCTTCAGAAGGAGCTAGGGGTGATAAAGTAAATGTCCATCAGTCTAACAAAACCTCTATAAACTCTACGACCTGATCGACGCAATGTCAAATAAACAGGAATATTATTCATCTAAATTTAATATAAAAGATACAACCAAACTAAGAGCGAGGAATGCTTCCGAATCTGAGTTGGAAATGATGAATACGTACATGAGCAGCAGTTCCTCTGTCCATCCATCCTTACCGCTCTCGCAGTATTGGTGTTCACACTGAATGTTAGGCGGCTGAAAAGTGTTAGTGGTGCACACGGCAAAGTAAACAAAAATTACTTTTATAATTGCAAATATCCCTGCGACCGTCCTTGTAAGGACTTACTATGTGTTTATTTTTTTCAAAAGTCATTTTTCAGTGTTTTAAACAACACATACAAATTCCTATCACCTCCACCTTATTCGGGTAGAGGCAGAATCTTGAACCATCTACTTGTTAATTTGAACTAATTGTAATCAAATGTTGCGACTTGTACGTTGCCTACAGCTCAGGATGAACCCGTCTGTACGTGAGGCCTTGCAGAGGTTAACCTGCTGCACATGAACACAAATGATTACTCTTGGAATACGATTCTATAACCTTTTCCTTGAAGAGATGAGGCATTTCAGTCAATGAATGGGTTGATGTCCACGAGGATGAATACTTGCATCATGTAAAATAAATAACAGCAAAATAAGCTAAAGGATACCGAATGAAACTGTGAGAGGAAATATTCCAGTTTTTGCTTGCACTGAGTGTCCATTCACCCTCCAAATATCAGCTCAGGAACCTCGTCCCATGTTTTGGCATCATAGCAGTTCAGAGCGGAGGGCCAGCGAGAGCGTCCAGAGGGGGGGCAGCAGCCACAGGGGGGAGGGGGAGTGGCGGGCGCCTAAAGGCGAGGCGGAGTCCGAGGTGCAGGAGCACACCTCGAACCCGTTCTCTGCGTGGTCCGGCTGATGCTGCACGTTGAGTCTCGTCTCCGTGTCCGGAGAGTCTGCCTGCATCTCGGTGCACAGCAGCCAGTCTTTGGCGATGGAGCGGGGGTATCCTGCCTCCGCCTCCATGTCGCTGCTCGGCACTTTCCAGTACTCCTTCCCCTTGAAGAAATAGGACGAGCCTTCGGAGAGAAAGGCAGAGTATTGGCCTTTAGAAATACAGCGAATTACAACAAAGAAAGACAGAATAAAGTACAGTTATTTTTGCCTTTGCCCTTGAGACTGAAAGAAAGGCAACAACGATGCCATTTGAGTATTAGAATGCAGAAAACAAATATATTAACAAGATAATTGAGAAAAACAAATGTATAAAAAATACAATGGATGTTCTCTAGCTGCTTCCTATATCCTATTTTTGCAAGTGTTGGCATTAGAGCAGTTTGCTTTAATATCCACACAAGGAACAGGATTGTCTTTGCAATATACACAACAAGCACAGAACACAGAATAAAGGGCCTTAATTTCATGAATCACTGACCCTGAGTGTTTATGCGCACCACTTTCACACTGTTATTAACATACCGCATGGTACACCTGTTTTAGAGGGAGTGTGAATCATTTCCACCAGGTTGGGATTACAAAAGATACATTTGTGTGTATGACCCAACATCCATCATGGTTAACCGTTTCCATCAACAAGACAACAGTGCAATCCCAGTAGAGGGTTTACCCACAAATAACATTGACACATCAGCTCAAAACTAGCATGAATGATTTCCAGAGCAAATGAAATGTGAATGTGCCATCTTTATCAAATGAAGTTGAAATGAAGCTGTCAGATGAATCATGCATATACTTGGCTGTTATACCATGCATCAGTGTATCCCTTTCACACAAACACAACACGATTCATTCATTCCTGTTGAGTGCAATGATGCCTCCCACAAGAGTCCATGAGAGATGGTTCATGTGTAATAAAGGGGGTGTGGCATAAGTACTGGGGGCAGGGCTGATCTACACAAGTGAAATAGGAGCCTTTTGTTCATAGGCACCAGTCACTTCAACACCACCTTAAAACTGGTAGCTGCTGGTTATAACTGCAGAGTGAGCCCCCACATTCAAAGAGACTGGATAATTGCAGGAGCACGCATAACATTCCCTGAATTAGAAAAGGTGTATTTTGTTTGACAGTTTAGAGCAGGGGTGTCCATATGTAATGAGAAGTTTCAGAACTGATTCGGCCTTAACTGGTAATATTTGTGTTGCTTTTACATTACTATTTTATTTAGTTTGATTCATATTGTGCCACCATAGAACAGAGCAGCCCATTGCACTGTGCCAGCTGATCATTACTGACACCACCAACCGTGCCTGTCCCTTCACTTCAGGGTACTTAAGTTAATTAGAGTTTCCTAATTACCAAATGGACAATGGTAACCGCTGTGCGCTTCGTATGAAAATGCCACTTTGTAAGTACAAAATCACCCAAATGTGATTTGCCATTATGAAAATAGGTTGATAAAACTATTTGCGATACTTATTTTGTATTTGTTTTCCTAAACCATCAAAAAGATGTTTGTTAACTGGGTGACGTAGGCTGTATCCTGAGACAGACAAGAGGGGAGAACTTAACAGTATTTTGGTTCATTTTCTCAACAGGTGATTGAAATGGATAAGTGGCTCGACATTAACAAGTGAAGGAGCCGAGTTAAGAATGATCCCTCAGTGTTAATGGCCTTGGAGCTCACCATTAACTGTGGATAAATATTTATGTGTATGAATGCTTGTCTCAATTAACGTAATCATATTCTGTGGTGTTGGATGAAGTAAGTCAATGACGTAGGAGAACGTAGGAGTAAAGTGCAGAGGATGATTAAAGCACTTAGTCATCATCATCTGGTGCTGTCAAGTCCTGCACTCCAGTGGAATATTTTTCAAATAATATTTGGGAGCATTGAGTTCTTGCCTCTCTTGCAATGCCTGCATGACACTTTAAACTCCATATTGTGAACATTTGCACTACATTCCTCTATCCACAGTTTGGCCTTGATAATACATGCCAAACAAATGGCAGACTCATCTGTGATCTTTCAAAAAGCGTCTTAACGTTTTTACTGTACTCACTTTTGAAGGAACAATGAGTTACAGGTTTATTATGGCCTTTATTTCTTTATCAGAACCCGCCTAATAAGGATGAGTATGTTTCAAATAAAAACACAAATTCTGTTAAATGAATGATGTCCTTTGTGATGTTGACAATGGGTAAGAGTTATAATTCAAATAGATATAATGTGAAAGGTACGGTAGAAAAGGTTTTGTGCTGATCTTGGCATTTCACTGTAAAGAGCCTCTACCCACTTTAAAGGGTGAAGGACTCTAGTAGTTCATTATCAGTGCATAATTGTGAGAACATTATTCAAGCCGGGCTGCAGCTGGCTGTAATAAATATCAAGTCTGCTCTTCAGTTTACTGCACGTATCTTATCTATAAACTTCTGAGGGCATATTTCTCTGAGTATTACCCTAACCAAGTCTGGAAATGTCCTGACCGAAGCCCTTTTCAATGTTGATATATTATCCCTACTTGTTCTCCATGTCCAGAGCTGAACTTTATCCTCACAAAAGGTGGCAGCACAAGAGAACACACATCCACAAAGCCACTCTCCTTATCCATCTACTGCTTTTATTGGAGGCCCAAGCCCACAGGGCTCAATGCCACTTTGCTAAAATGCTTCTTTCTATTCCTCAAAGACTTAAAGTCATAGAGCTGTCCAAAGCGGTGAATACATTTCATATCTCAGTCGGTACTTGCTAATAAGCCCTGACTCAGAGTGAAAATACAGTTCTTATTCAGATTCTAAAGATGAATCAGTGGCTGAATGAATTAAGCTGATGATGACACTTATCTTCTAATACAGGCCTCATCATTATCCAAGAAAATCTATTTATTGTGTAATACGTTTTCGAGACTTGGACAAGGGTGATTAGATGTTCTCTTTATGCCTGGTCGAGACAGACTGATCTATTAACTCATTACTGAATTCACCTGAATTGAATTTCTTGTTTTCTGTTTATCTTTTGTTATGTGCCATATTGTTAAAGCACTTCAGGCCGCATTCTTTGTATGAAGTGCGCTTTACAAATAAAGCTTAATTATAACTGAAATATTAAGAAGAAGGCTCAGACTGGTGTCACTGTTTATTCTTTCAACAAATCACATGAATATTTCATCGCAGCAAACTCATCCTGACATTCATACTTAAGATGTAACTATTTCAAAATGGGTCACAAACATATTGTCAGCTCTATAAAGACTCAATGTTTCTTAAAACTGCTGGGTGCTATTTGTTTAACTGTTGTTACTCAACGGGAGTCCATTATGTATTTATTAGGGACTCTCTGCCGAACATGCAACTTAGTATTTTCTGTAACAAAACAGCATTTGATTGATTTGATATAACTTGTCAGTATCACTATGATTTAATCTAATACTAGTCTATTACAATTCAAATGTTCTGTCTGTTTACCATCTTTGTTTACAGTATACTATTTGATTACTGTGTCCCATTGTTCCTCTTTCTTATGTGTAGTATTTCCTGGAGCTCCAAAAAGTTGCCTATTATCTTAAACCCTTCATTTTACAATCACTGCAGGATTCACTTCCTGACTTTATGGCATAGGTTGTAACTTTGCCTCTGCTAATGTGACACCATCTCAGTAATGGATGTTGACTGGTTTATGTGAACTCCCTTTACATTTAAAAGACAATTTCCATGCCTGATACATTTGCTGCTTCTTTATATTTTTCTTAAAAGTCAAAACTATTCCCGGGTGCCATACTAATTCCAGCCGTTATGATTATTATCATCATTATGGCTTCATTCATGCTACGTTATTACCCGCAAAGCAACAATTCTATCTGGTTTTACTGCTTTTCTGTCTCTCTGTATGAACTTTTTATCTTTACTCTGAGTCATTCATCTTACTAATGTCCCGTATTTTTCTTTTCTTTTCTTTATTAACTCTCTTCAACCTCAGGCGTCACCATATCTCCTGTCTGGATTGTCTTTTTCTCGTCTGTCCATCGACATCTTTCTGTTCTATTTTCATAAATACGTGTCACCGTATCTCCTCTTCTTGCTGTCATCTCACTTTCTTCTCACCCCCTGTCTGTCTCTATCCCTTTTTTCTCTCTCCATTCATCCTGAGCTGGTGAAACAGACAGAGAACACGCTTTGATGTGGCTCCATGTTCCCATGCCCCATGGTCTGTCTATGTGCGTTTGTGCGTGAAGGTTTCCAAGTTTTCCCTTCCAGGCTCTGTGGTGATAATGGTCAGGGGTGAAGGGGAGTTGGGATTGGCCTCCTGTCACATTCACACAGACCCAAATGTACACACATCAAAGAGCTTAGGGCAAGACGGAAGACAAAACGCAGACCACCAAACAACTGATAAGGAAAGAGCTTCCTCCTATTTGCATGCTGCATGGGGGATTAGAGACATCCAGGCATCACATTTCAGGACTCTGTGGCAGTTCTAGGGTATTTTTAAAGATCTAAAAATGACCAAGCATCACTCAGACCTTACACACACGGGGAAAAACGTTGCACAAAGTTTCTCAGACGTATAGTGTTACTCTGTTTTACACCTCTCATTAACATGCACATGTGATCAGATGATATTGAAGCTTTAATGGTAGCAGGCGTTGTGACCTTCACACTCAGCTGCTACAGTGGAGCGGCTCACTGTGTGCTCACTGGGCCAGCTCCAAGGTTTCAACGTGGTTAACTTTGTGAATGTAAATCAGACTGTTGCCAAAAGAGACCACGAGTTTACTACGTCAAAATAACAGATACAATGTTTTGACATGCAAAACAGACAATGAGATGCAAATTTGCCTCTAATCTGTATACTGCAGCTTTGCCAACAGAAAATGTGCATGGATACAACCAGGAAGAGTGCCAAAAAAAATTAAAACAAAATGTCATGACAGAGTGCACTGTTTGAATGATAAAACATCCTCGACTTGATAGGAATGTTTTCCAGGTGAAATGTTGTTTTCTATAAACTACAGAAGAGTAATGCACGGATTAAAACGAACCACGTTTAAGACGTTGTTGTGCGATTATTCTGTATTTAAATGAGAACTAACTGTTAAAACCTGTATTCCACTCACCCATTAATCTGTACTTTATGTTAATAAATGACAATCAAACTACTAATTAACCAAGATTTGTAGAGTGCTTGAGCTTCATGCTTATGTCAGCATGCTCAAGATCATAATGCTAGCATGCTAATGTTTAGCAGGTATAACTATCTTATGTTAGCGTGTTAGCATAAATCATTTTTGCTAGTATAGGAAAAATGCTTGTGGGGGCGCATGAATGCATGTATCATGTATCATGTATCATGACAAGCAATATATTAGTCTTAGGACATTCAACTTAAAGTTAGAAAGTAACGTAAAATACTACAAAGTTGTAAAGAGCTTGTCTTGCTAACTAGCTAAATCGACGAGCTAGCATGCAAGGAAAGGGAGGAAGGAGCGTGCCACAATAACGACAGTCACTTCAGGTCACAGAGTCCGTTGGGACTTCACAATACAAGTTTGAACTTTATGACATTTCAAGAAAAATCTAAAGAGTTAGATTCATTGTCTGGGGACCATGAATGTCTGTACAACATTTTATGGTAATCTGTCAAATAGTTATTCAGAATTTAAGTCTGGATGAAAGTGATGGACTGACTCAGCAAACAACATCCTTGGAGTCAAGCTGTCGCTAACAAGAAATATAACAGACTAATTCAAGCTAGGCACAGTGCTTTACTGCTGGCAGGTAGTTGGCTCAGGATTGTAACCTGATTGTAAAACTTCCTCCAAGACTCCAAGCTACAGGTTTTCTAACTTGCATAACTGCTCCTTCATATTTATCTTATAATCCATTCCCATTTGAAGATTTCCCCATAGAAGGATATTGCAAAGTCTTGCCTTTGGCACCAGCAGACACCAGAGCCACCAGTAGTCTGATTCTCTGGTGAAGTGTTACAACTCAATTCTTCTCCGAGATATGTAATAATTCATTGCTGGAAGATAGAGACATTGGGGATTCCTCCTTCATACCTTGTATAAATATGTAATCCATCACTATGTCTTTATATTCAATTTTTAATGAATACAGAAGAGGTCAAAATATGTCACTGCCCTCATTCTAAACATCCTTTTCACTCTGGGTGATGGATTGGGAGAAAGTTAAGGGTATGAATTCCATTCATTATTTAATGGAATAGTAAATAAAATGAGGTACAGGCTTTCTGGCTATCACCAAACTGTTTTTTGGCTGTCAGCGTCTTGGATCTTTGGAACCAGAAGTGAAAGAGAAAGTGGAGTTATTTACAATTGGATGAGGAACAAAACACTTTTAGTCAAGCAACAAACTACAATTAATTTGAATAAACTGAAAACACTAACTGCAAGGGTTAATGGTATAAGACACAGACAACAACCTAAATCACGTTGTATTTAAGGAGATTAGAAACTATTGATTGGACCATTAACACATTCAGTAAATGTTTAGTGAGGTAATAATATCAAGAACGTCACAGGGGGATTTTCTCATAGACTTCTATACAACCCAACTTCATTTCGCAACCAGTACTGGACATTTGAAAGAATACATGTTAGTCAATTGCACATTTCTTTCACTTTTAAGACCCGGAGGTCGCTGCTTGGTGTCAATATGCAGCTATAAAAAATAATGTTCTTTTGGCTACTCACCATCAGACCACCTTATGGCGTCGTCCAGTTGTGGCGGCAGCCCCTTCCAGAGCGAGCTGTCTTTAGGGTATCCCAGGTCCATTCGTCTCAGGTGGTCATCGTAGCGCCAGTACAGGTTGTCCTTGAAGAAGTAGGTTTTCTCGTTGTGTAGCCAAACAAAGGCTGCATCTATTACTTCCAAGGGTAGGCCAAAGTCACTGATTGGACGAGGGTAGCCCTCCTCTACGTTATTATCCTTAAATACCCAGTACTTTAGACCTGAAGAGGGTGGACACAGGAAAATATACCTCATAATCGATTTATAGTTTTATAAATCACACGTAACCGACAGTGTATGCACTTGCTTTGATATATATGAATAGATTAGAGAACAGAAATGTACATATAGGACACTCGTGAAATATTTAAAAGATTAACTATGGCAGCCAGTGGAAAAAGTTCTCTGCCAGGAATGCTCTTATATAAATGTATATCAAATGTGGTTCTGCAACCATGTGTTTTAAAACAAAAGTTATAGCTCTTTATAGCACAATTTCCTTCTAAGAAAGGTGTGGACGGTCTTATTTCATCTAGCCTCTTTAAAGTGTGGATGAATCACATTTGAAAGTGTCTGCAAGTCACCAGAAGTTTAAAAATAAAAACATTTTCTTTAACTCTTTTATCCAACTTGTGACAGAAAAGCAGGAGGAATAAAAAGAAAAGCCTATTGTTGCAGATGATAACTTATTGAACCAGCCTAAATTCCAGTACATTTTAAGACTCATTCCGAGATCTGAAACACATTAGAATGTAGTGTTGTTTTTAAGTACTATACCTTTAAAAAATACAATTTTATGGTCCCCAGGCCTCTCATACACAGCATCCACACTGTCCAGATTGGGGGGGAGGCCCCTCCAGAAACGATGGATCTGAGCGGGGCGCAGGGACACCAGGTGCTTCTCTCTTGTTAGTCGCCAGAAGTACTTTCCTATAAAAGGAGCAGAACAGAACAGAGCTGAGGATCAGCACATTTCAGGACGCTGGTACCAAATAACAAGGCTCTCACAGCCATTATATATATATATATCTTTTTATAAACTTCCCACGGGGAAACTTGCAACAATGCAAATGTAAATGGATGTAATAAAGATTAGCATGGTTCATGTTGTCATTGGCATGTTTTTGTAGAAGTACTATGCACTGTGGAAGTCCATTTTCAAGGTTGACTATTTGACTGAATTAAGGGGTTAAATTAAATCAATACATTAATTACTGTTAACTGCAGATGTTATTAATTCATTATCAATCTTAATTAAATAAAGGGCATTAGTTGATTCATTTCCTCTGCAGCTTGTCCACGTCATCATCCCCTTTATGAGATTGTTTGCAAAACTTGTGACTTTTTAGAACAGCTCACCAAAAAGAAAGCCTTATATTCCATCAAAATCATCAGACAATAAGCAAAATAAAACAGCTGCGTCATGTCTCTCAAGGATTTGTCCTAGCGAAACAGATGTGGCAGGCCGATACAATCCCAATGTGAAAGGCTGTCAAGAAGTACAAAACAAATCTACATCTTGATTAAATGAAGTGTAAAAAAAAAGTAAAAATCCTCTCTTAACTTGTAATCTAATCTCTAGTGACACAAGATGTAAAAGGGGTTCAAAGGATGTCAGCTAAAGTTCAGCATACTTTGCTAACACTTCTGCCGCTGAAGGTATGCGAGTCTGTTTCGTGTTCCTGTTGTCAGAGGGAGTCTTGGGGTCATTCCTCCAGAGGGCAAGCATGAAAGCCTGATGTAACTTTTGGACTGCGTTCTCTCAGCAGGGCTCAAGCGGCTCAGTCGGGTGTCTGCATCTCCCCCGCTCTCCTCTTCATCCTCTCTGCTCTCCTCTCTCCATTTTAAATATGCTTTTAATTCCACTCATTTAGCTAATTTCTTCTTGTGTTTCCCAGGCAGCTCTGTAGCTTTGCGTCTGTCTTTCTCCCTTTGTGACTCCGTACCTTTGAAAAAGAAGGCCTCTCCTCGTATCTGGGCCACTGCATCAAAGTGGCTGGTGCATCTGTCTGGAGCATCACGAGCCAGCCTGAGAGAGATGGGGAAAGTAGGAGGAGAGAAGATTGTGAAAAGAGGAAAACCAGAAAAACACTTTCAATCTTTGAACAATGTTGTTTCTGGGATTTGAGATCTGATACCAATCATCTAAAAATGATTAATCAAACACATATAAAAGTGTATTTGTGAAAAATATATCAACTCTTTCTTTGAATTCAATATGTATTGAACATTTTCAAGACCTTTTAATGCATATATATTTGGTTCAGGCTTTTATTTTGGGTGCATAATTCAAACCTGGTTGAATGACAGTCCCTCTGTGCATTTGCCCCCGGGGTTTTTAAGTGATTTAAAGCATTGACGTGGCCAGCCTGCCAATGATGGAGCCATTAGCACCGCAGGGCTGAGAGTGGGAGCCCGCCAGGCCTTATATTACCAACAAAGGTCTCCATTCAAAGCTCTATTAACACTACACCACTGCCTAGTGGTCAGCCTTGGTGCCCTTGTCAGGCCCAATCCAGCTTTTTCACGCATCATGACCTGATGGATTCAGGAGGAAATGATTAATGACGGCAGTTAAAAATCTAGTTTGATATCCCCACCACTGCCTTTTTAGCTTAGCCCTCTTTCTCAGCTGCCTTCTTGTTAACTGTAGTGGGTGTGCATGCACATGTCTGTTATCTGAGAATCATTTGTATTTCATCCTCCTTCATTATTAAGACATTTTGTCTTTCGTCGAACGTCTTGGGGGCTGTTTTAAGGTCAGTGCTTAGTGGTTTGTGCATATGTGAGCATGTGTTTGTACATTCAAAATACATAAATGGACAAAATGAAGCCTAATTATCCTTGATAATCTGAAAAACTACAGGCTGATAGCTGCCCGACTAGCTTTGGGGAATTACTTAATTAGACGGGCAGGCTCCCAAGCTCACTCTCGGCGTCTTTGCTAATTTGATTTGTTGGCACCTCATGATCATATGAAGCACCAGAAAAACTCTTTCTACTATAAATGTTCAGGATTCCTACATGCATTTGTTACATTAAATCTCTGAGGAAGTGAGAACAAAAGGAAGAAAATTAAAAAACAATCACAATATAATTATGCTGATGTACAGGGAACCATCGGAGAAATGGAAATCTCTTTATAATGAGGTCCAAAACCCTGCAAAACAATGTGAGGCCCACTAGAATATAGTGTTCTTATGGAAGTAGCTCAACTTAAATAAAGCCACTTTTTTAGGGCTGTGTTCAAATGCATAGTTGAAGGATTGCTTGTAAGGAAAATAGTGAACATTTAAAATGTTTGTGTGATTTTTGTAGACGCTTATAAGAAGCCATAAGACAAATAAGCAGCACATGTCCCAAAAAAGCTGGTAACTTAAGTGTTGTTTTTGAGGCGAAAATTGTATTGTGCCATCCTAATGTTATTGATACTCCTATCTGCTGCACTTCTCAGGCCTAACAGCACAGTTGCCATGTTGAATGTGATTTACAGAATGAGTAAAGGTCAGAAAAATCAGTTTTCACACAAAACTGCCATTTTGGTGCAAGAGTAGGATCCTAGCTATATATTGAGGGTATATAAAAGTAGTCAGTTTAGGTTTTTAAGTGTCTTAGTAACACTTAAGTGCTGTCTTAAGGGTTCTTAAGATGGAAACATGTTTGAGAGTTAATTGAGTGTTCTTAAGACAGCAATTTGTTTTTGTTGCATGGAAAAGATGCCAAGTATCTTTACATGTTCTACTTACAGTAGAGTAGATCTGTTTTCAGGGAGGTCCAGCAGTACTGGAGGTTCAGCCGTCTGGGAGGGGTTGCCTGGTCGGTTTGTGTGGGACACCGAGTCTCTGACACCTAGTAAGACGTTAAATGTCATTACAAGAAATATGAACACCTCATCTTCTTGTCTTTCATCCTCTTTCCCAAATTGATATTTCGTGTGTCTTTTCTGTAGTGAATGGTGTGATAAGGTCCTATGCCACAGTGAGGTCCAATTAACTCTATACATGTTTCCAATAAATCAATAACCTTCCTCTACAGAGCTCATCAGTTGCTGCTTCCTGTGTGGGGAGGCGTTTGTATCTGCAGTGTGCTGAAAAATACCTAATTACAGAAAAGGCTCTTGAGTTATGGTTAAAGAAAGAGAATAAGATTGTGTGTGTGTGTCTTTGCAACTTTTTTGTTTCACAGCACTATGAGACCCTCAGGAGAGGCAGAAATATCTTCAAGATTCAAAGGTTTATTGTCATAACATATACCCACCTACGGTGTAGTTATGTAATGTATGAACAACTTGAAATTCTCTTATGAATCAATTAAGCCAAAATGTTAAGTGGCATAAATGACATGCTCAAAAGCTAAAAAATAAATGTACTGTACAGCCAATGATGACATTTCTTACTGTGATGCAGAATTATTTGTAGGTACTTTAGAAATACTTGGAAAGTGTGACTGTAGAATAAATTGAACAATGACTCACCACACAAGTGATACATGGTGTTACTTCCAATTATAAAGCGGTTTTCATAGTTACCACTTTGTGTCATTTTCTACAAACATCTTCTCCAGTAGCAACCAATTACTGATTTTTGATGTGTGTGTACTTCTTTTTAACACATTCCCTCGTACCGTAGAGCTGCCAGACGCGGACCTTGTCTTCATACGGAAGGTCGTATTTCAGAGGGTCTCCTACAGGACCCTGGTAGTACGGTCTCATGATGGACTCTATGGCTGAGGTGTGGACCAGGCCGATGGCGTGACCAAACTCATGGACTGCAACCGCAAACAGATCCATCCCATGAGTGTCTGAAGGAGAGGGAGAGAAACATGAGAGTTTACATCCTGTGGTTACATATTATTAGGATACAGAAATCTATATAAAAAGGTGAAAGAACGACGATTCAAAGGTTATACTAAAAAGTGTTGTTTAGAAAACACATGGAACTGTGGCAACTTCCCAATTTCTTTTGGAAATAGTTTTTCTTTTTACAATCCTCCATGAAACATCATAGATTATCGAGTTTAGTGTTGACGCTGTTGCAGTTTTGACAGTAGTTAGTATGGTTACAACTGCGGTCCTCCCATAAAATAGGCGACAAGATAGTGACTGATGTGATGTGATAACCATCATAATCGTATGCCCTACAGTTTTGCGCATAGTTACTAGTTGTAGAGTAATGTAATGTAATCTGGTATCATTTTTTTATGAGACTAATGACATCTCTTCAAATAGCCGAATGTGTTGAATGCATTGCTTGGTATGTTTGTGTATGAACAGGACATGAAACATTTTTAGTACATTGTTTAGGAAACACTCAATGGTCACATTCACCAATGTACCCAATATGCGTCCTAAATTGACCCCAGTCAAACACGTTTTCAGGTATGTTATCCTCTTTCAGTTCATCTGCTCATGGTGCAAATAAGAGGCATGACAGACAGCTCAGGAGGCTTTGAGTGCTGTAAGGCATGTGGTGTAGTGAGATAACTACGAGTGTGGAGAGACACCTGAACACCATAAAAGCATCCGTTCCTCTATGTTCAGCAAGAAAAGGAATAGACAAAGCTTCCCAAACTCTTTGTCTGACTCTGCCAAGCAAGACAAAACCTGGGGCTCAGAGATTTAGATTTGCAGAAATATGGAGAGCTAGCGTGTCGGGCCGAGCCAGCTTAGGGTTCCTTGGTGGCTCAGCTGAAGTCTGCATTCGGTTAACCTAAGGTTGGCCTCGACTTGGGACGTGCACTCATGCTTATGGTACCCAGCTGGGGTTTCCAGGAGGCAAATGCCAACTCTAATCTACATGAGCACATGGGGCAGAGTGGAAAGGTGGACAAAAGGAAGGAGAGAGAGAGAGAGAACAGGGGCTCAGAACAGTGTTTGTACCATGTAATCATATTCACGGTCCATGGGAGGCTGACAGAATGATCGTAATGCCTGTGGACAAAGTAGGAGCGCAGAGAATTGGGAGGATGAACTAGATTCATTTAGGAAGGCAGAGAGATAGAGATACATGAAGGACTTTTGTGTATCTCCACACAATATTACATCTTATTAGGTTTCAATCTGCTGGATTCACCAATGAGCCATTAAGCATGTTATCCAGCCAAATGATTACATTGCATGATGATTAAGATACTTCATTTACTAGATCTCAAAATGTTCATGCGTTCCATTCCTCCCGTCCTCAAAAACCAGGATCACAGGATAGGAGGGTTTTGATCTTAGGTACCTTTGAGAAGAATATGCCTGGCTACCTCAAAAACATCACAGAACTCTTAGTGGATGCCCTGGAGTTTGCCTACAGGGCAGGCCTGTTTGCTGACGATTCAGTCTACATGAGTCTGGACTATCTTTAACAGCCTGGGAAGCCATATAGGGAAAATGTTTGAAGACCTAAACTCTTTATAACAGACCTCCTGGTCTCTATGCTATTATAAATTCTTACACATTTATTTAATCATGTTGCACCATTAGACTTATAAAATGCTGCCACTGGGAGCAAACAACGGAAAGATATGAAATATTCCCCTGCAAACCTTGGGCTTTTATTGTGAAAGGTAAGAATGGAAATAGTGAATGTGGTATGCGCTTCAAAATCCATCACAAGAGAAAACAATATATACAAGTGACAAAGCTTTGTAAATCAAAGTAATTCTGTACTTTATTTACATATGAATAAGTCGAAAAATGTAAAGTTTTATAGTAGCATTCAATAGGATTTAGATTGAGTGGGAAAGCTTGAACTATGGTAACCGATCTATGTCATCTATCAGCAAGCTAACATCAGCAGCACAAGACAGCTAGCAATAACAAGGTGTTCATATTTTTGTTAGAAATAGTCTCTACATAAAAACCTTACCCAGTGATAAGACACATCATTCTAAGGGCTCCAAGTTCATAGACTATACTATTTGTTTTTAAGGGTCACTATAACTCAACCACCAAGAATACTCATCAGATTAATGCAACAGTTCAGGGCGTACAGCTGGTCCATTACACTGGTGTTGCCCATAGCCAACAGCGAGTGGACCATTTCGAAAAGAGCATTGCTCTCATGGGTTGAGACCAAACAACACAAATAATTGAGTAACCAGAGATCATTGCCAACAGCTTCCTCATTCTCCAAAATATCTGCCACTCCAGGCCAAAGAAGCTTGGATCCAACATCATTAATGACCCCCTCCACACACATCGTCCACTCTTCCTCGCAGGGAGCAACTTGGGATAATTGGAGCCAAAACAGCCAGGCACACAAAACAGTTTCTACTGCTCCTCATCAATACATCTGCTCTCCTCCGAAACGGGTAAACACGATGGACAGCAGCACTGCAAAATGTCTAAATATTTTGCTACTAATGGAAGGGTCAGTAACTACCCCCTACTTTAAGACAGGATGGGCAACAAACGGACCTGAACCGTTATACTAATACTCCCACACGTTGGAAGACATTCACTGCAACAAGAAACATAATGGACCAAATCAGAAACAAAGGGGTCGATTTTGCATTTTGCAGTCAAATAAATGTTTGAAGAACACTAAAGCAATAGAACTGTGCTTCACTTTGACTCAGTTTTTTTTTTAATACAGCCAGTCTTCCTCTCCCACTACCCCAGAGGAGAAGATAAGGGCAGGATGAGTTTGGAAACTCGAGGGAACTTTAAAGACACCGGCTTTGTGAGAATAAAATGTGGATTGGAATAATATTTTTTCATGCATAATGATGCCGAGACCATCCAGGTTCCAAATACAGGAGAGTTAAAGGTGAAACTATTACGAGTCATTTCCGAAAAGGTACATTTTGTGTTTTACTTATTTTGTGTGAAGGTCTGTTTTTTTTAAAGTTACATTTGTAGTTTTAATGTACTTCGCCACATAGTTCTATCTCCTCCCCTATTCATAAAGCAAAGGCACTTTTCATAAGCCAGTATACAAGAAAGTTGATGAGAAATGATAACATGCAAACAGAGAAATGGGCCCAGAAAAACCTTGGGGCACATACACTATAGATCATTAGTTTGTGTTGTTGATGGCTCACTCTTCTTTAGCTCTTTAATAACATCAGTGCATTATAAACTCAGACAATTTCTCAGTTCCTCACGTAAAAGTAGTAGCAAGTGTCAGCAACTGTTTCAGCAAACATTTTCTGTGGTTAGTACAGGCCCAAGAGTATAATCCCTTTCTGACATCTCCGTCCTGCGTTCACATGTTTATCCGCTAGAGTTTCATGTACACAGCCTAGTTTTATATTACCTAGCCTTGGAGATACTATAAATCCGTCCCCTGGCAATGTTCTTAAAGTTTGAATGATAGACCACAAGCGACCTAATGGTTGTGTCGTAAATGATCTATGATCGGAAGTTATTCTGAAACCCAAATACTCTGGAAAATGGCCCGTAGACAAAAGCCTTTTTGGCTATTTGGCCAATGGTCTTTTGTTCCAAAAAGCAAACAACCAATGTTCTGAAAGCATGTTGATCCAAAATAAACAATCTCCCCCACAACATACATAATCACATGGCTTGGCTATGCAGAATAACTTCATTTTACCTTAGAGTAAGCCAACCAGAGACAGAGTAGTGCGGGTCATGCCTTCGTCATGGTAGTACAAATAAATAATGTGCTAGGAAGGTCCACTTAGGTTGTTTCTGCATTATAATTAGCTATCAGCCCCTGTTGGTTGCAGTCTATTTTTCAAAGCATTGGGTATAACAGAATGACAGATATGGGCTTGGTTCAATGGGACACATATTGAACTATTGGGCTTTGGAATAATGGGCTGGCGGAACAATGGCATGGCACCGGCTTTGTTGCCTCATATTTCCTATAAAGTCAGTAGACCATAAGACAGACATTTTAACCATGATATATATGTACCCTTTATACAGTAGATGACATAACTAGATTCCTCATTTTCTGTGTTAGTTACTTAACTTTGGAGGAAAGGTAAACCAAAAAAGACTAAGTCTTGGTTTGCGTATTGTCTCCGGAGTCCTATCTGATTGGTATCTCTGTTTGCTGGTTTGTTTTTCAGTTTTCTATTCTGTATAGTCCTTGAATAATTTGTTATTGCCTGCTCGGTTAGAGCCAGCATCAGTCTGGAAATGTGGTGGTGTTTGGCCCGGGGCAATTGCAAGCTATTACGTGATATAAAGACCGTGTTTGAAGACAAAACTTTAAAACTTTAAATTACACTTTCAGGGTTCTATAAGTAACATGAAACAACATGATGTAGCCTAGACAGTCTAAACTCTATCAGTGACCTTTCAATATCCATAGTTTTTTCTAGGATGAATTTGCACTTTGTCATTTATCTATCAAGAGTTTTTTACGAGAGATAAAATAGTACAATAAGACCTTCCAATCTGCATACTAGTGCTTCTTTTCATTCTTGCTGGGCAACCCATCTTCACAGAGACATAAACAGAAACACAGGGTGCATGCACACCACAGAAGCACATACACAGAAACATTTGTAATCTTCTGAGAAATTCACCTGCTTAATGACGCTTTTGTTTTAGTCAAGGTAATCAGTTTGCAGAGGCAGATTGTTGGCAGAGTGCTAATTAATAGAAGCATCTGCTGCCTGTCAAAGCATAAACAGCACTTCCAGACCTCTATTTATTTGATCTCATGGAGGTTCCGCCCTCTCACGACTCCCAATGGACACACGAACCATCAATCACACAGCGGGAGTGAACTGGTCTGCTTAATGTGGTGCTTAATATTCCTCTATTCAGCATCATCGTACACATTAAGAGATGGCCTTGGCGGACCCAGACTTAGGGTCCCGCTGAGAACAATGTA